TAGATTAATTACTCAAAATAATATTTACAACAACTAATTAATTTCCGAATTAAAAGAAAGTACAAAATTTAAAGTTAAAAAAAATGCAAAATGAGTCCTTTTTGTGATTTTAATCATTTTTATAAGACAACTAAATTGCTAATTAACCTAAAAATGTAAGATTAAATCCTAAATGCAAATGCAATGTATTTTTGTATTTTCATGAATTAAATAAAATAAACGTGCACAGACAAATGCAAGCAATTAACAAAAAATGCTACAAAAATCCACGAAATTGCAAACATTGGGAAAAATTTGTTTTGTTTGAATTTATGAGAATAACTCATATAGGGCAAAAATCACGTGCTCACAATTACTACAAGGAGCAAGACTCAACTCAGAGCAACTCTAAACCGCTACAAGGATGACAATGTGTAACAAACCGAATAGCAACCAAACCAACTAGCTATATTGATTCACTGAACGGACTTACAAATACTGAAAATTGCAATGAAACAGTAAAGGATAATTGAGAGATAACATAGAGGGATGAGAGGGCAAAAATACACCATAGAAGAACGGAGATGAGAAGCTTAGATGTAGAGCAAGGAGATGAGAGGAACAAATATATTCTTCTTCAACAATAGGCATAATCCCCAAAATCACCGACCACTACTCTGTTTAATAGAACTGTTCTTGGGCTCATTACTCAACCTGGATCCCAAATTAGCCTGGCCATATTACTTGTTCTTATCCCAATAGCTCTTCTTCAGCCCAATAGTTATTTGTGTGTTAATATCCTTGCTGGGCTGGGGTTGATTCATAACAATACTCCCGTCCTCAATAAGAACCTTGTCCTCAAGGTTCAAGTTAAGAACAAGGATACTCACAAGCTTCCAACCAACAATATCAATACTAAGGCATTCATTATGTCTAAAGGAAAATATAGGATCCCGCGCACCTTTAGCGAACCATTCTAAACCATGTCCTTTGTGGCTCTCGAACATTAGCAATGTTATCAACTTGAGTGTCATCCTAACTTGCCCTGCATATTGACATAATCTTGCTTGCCCTCTTCGCGAAGCAGTTAGCGGCAAGCGAAATGATTGAATCAAGGCAAACTTTCCAGAAGCAAATTCCCACAAAAGCAACCCATGTAATGTGATAAGCAAACCATCAATTTGCCTCAAACACCTTAGTATCCTTTCCTTAGTCACCTTTAGAGCCATCAGTATATTTTCTGTTGAGTAATGTCCATCAAGGATGGTATTGTACAACACCTCTTTTGGAACATGCCCCTTGTTAGATATGTTTGTCAACACCCACTCAGCGTCATCACATTTCGCAAGTTTCAGCAGAATATGCATCCTATACACGGCAGTTCTTGACATTATACCATTTAATCTCATTTCTTCCTTCAAAATGAGTGCTTCTTCTATATTATCATTCTTGAAAAGCCCATGAATGCATATACTATAAGAGAGAATATGATGACATGTAGTTGTAGTTGCCCTTACCCTCAGGTATTGTGTAGTTTCCACATAAAACCCATTTGAAAGCTCTATTATGCTTGAATCCTCTTTGACCTTCTTCTGTGACGACCCAAAGGGTCATCACCTATTTTTTTATTTATTCCATGCTTCCGAGGCCTTGAAAACCTCATTTGGGGTTGCCTTGATTTGCGTGCACAGTCCGGGCGCGTAGCCGGAAAGCTTAAATATGAATTCTATGAGAAAAATGCTAAATTTTGATATTAAATTGATTAAATTTGACTTTTGTCAACATTTTGGGTAAACGGATCCGGACCCGTGATTTGACGGTCCCGGAGAGTCCGTAGGAAAATATGGGATCTGGGCGTATGCCCGGAATCGAATTCCGAGGTCCCAACCCCGAGAAATGAATTTTTGAGTAAAATTGTTTTTCTGAAATTACTAAGGAAAATTGAAATGAAAATTGGTTAGAACGTGTTGGTGTCGGGCCCGTATTTTGGTTCCGGTGCCCGGTACAGGTCTTATATGTGGTTTAAGATACTTCTGTGAAGTTTGGTTGAAATCGGACGTCGTTTGACGTGTTTCGGACTTAAAACTCTAAATTTGAAAGTTTATGAAGTTTGAGGAAAAACTTGTGATTTTGAGGTTTGATTCGTTGTTTTTGATGTTATTTTGGCGATTTGATTGCCCGGTTAAGTTCGTAGGATGTTGTTGAGTTAGTGTATGTGTTTGGTTAGGAGCCCCGAGGGCTCGGGAGTGTTTCGGGATGGTTTTTGACTTAGAAAGATTGCAGGTTTTTGCTTCAGCTGTGCAGGTCCCATTTTGTTCTTCGCGTTCGCGACGCATCCTTCGCGTTCGCGATGGCTATGAGTTCACCCTTTATTGCGTTCGCATACCTGCCCCGCGTTCGCGTAGAGTCATTTGACTCTGAGGACTCAGCCCTCTTTTACTCTTCGCGTTCGCATCTACCTACTCGCGAACGCGTAGTGTTGCAGATCCCCTTACTCGTGTTCGCGTTAAGGGTCCACGCGTTCGCGTAGACCAAGTTCTGTACCCCCAGCCTTTTCTCTTCGCGTTCGCAGCCTTCCCATCGCGAACGCGATGCCCAGCCCAGATTACCCTTCGCGACGCAACCATCCTTCCGCGAACGCGAAGGGCAATTTTGCCCGGTTATATTTTAATTTCCAGAACAGTGTAGTTACGGGATTTTCATAAAAACACACGAGCTCCTTCTTCTCCAAGGTCTTTAGGCGTCCATTGAAGTTCCCTTTCACCAAAACTTCTTGGGTTAGTAAATCTTAACTCATTTTCTTTATTTTCCATCAATATTTGTTGAGTTCCTAAGCCTAAAACATGTAATTTAGGGTAGAAATTGGGGAAAATGTGTAAAGTTAGGGCTTTTTACTTTTTATTGATTTAGACCTCGTTTTGGGGTCGAATTTGAGAACAAATTATATATTCGGCCTCGTGGGTGAATGGGGGATCTGATTTTGATCCGAACCTCGTGTTTTGACCAAGCGAGCCTGGGGGGCGATTTTGGGATTTTTAGAAAGAAAGCTTGGAAATCTATAATTAGACATTGGGTTTGATTTGCTTAGCATATATTGATATTATGAAGTCATTATTGTATAGATTCGATTGAGTTGGAGCCGAATTCGAGAGGGAAAGCGGTTGTTGTGGATTGATTTGGCAATGAAGTTGAGGTAAGTGTTTGGTTTAACCCTAGCTTGAGGGAATAGGAGTTGAGTCTTATTTGATACTTGCTAATTGTCGAGTACGATGTATAGACATGGTGACAAGTATCTATTCAATGGTGTCTAGCATGACCGTGAGTCCTTATTTTGCAAATAGTTGGGATTATGATTATATGTTCCATGCTTAATTGATGACTTCTGTATGTTGTAAAGATCTTGTGAAAGGAAATTGTGATCTTTAAACTTCGTGGAGCGTTGGCTCGAGTTAAAAATGCAAATTGTGAAGGTATATGAGATAAGTAAATCCTTGGAGCATTGGCTCAAGTGGTAATGTGAACTATGAGATGAAAGTGAAAGAAAGAGAAAGACTTAATGATTTATTCCCTTGCCGGGACGTAGTTGATTATTGATGTTGTGCCCTTGCCGGATTTTTAATTGTTTGCTTGTATTTCCTTGCCGGGATTTCCATTATTGTTTTATTATTTCCCTTGCCCTTGTTTGTGATTGTTGATTGGGTGAGGAAGAGTGTTAAAGCACGAAGGGTGATGTCGTGCATTGTTTGCTTCTTGTGAGGAAAGAGTGTAAAGCACGAAGGGTGATGCCGTGCATTGTTTGTTTATTGTGAGGAAAAGAGAGTAAAGCACGATGGGTGAAGCCGTGCCGCACGATGTGCCATTCCATGCCGATTCTATTGATTAGATGTGAGGTATGAGAGTAAAAGCACGAAGGGTGATGCCGTGCACGTTGATATACTATTGTTTAGGTGAGGATGAGAGTAAAAGCATGAAGGGTGATGCCGTGCACTTGTTGATCTCTGTTTCTTGTTGTTGTATGAGTTGTGTTTTTCCTTTGTATCAGTCAGTTTATACTTGAAACTGTTATCTCCCCACAGCATGTTCCCCTCCCATATTATTTACTTGTCTTGTATTTCGATTCCGCTGTATATATATAATTGCACAGGTTTATGTGGTAGTCCAGTCTAGCCTCGTCACTACTTCGCCGGGGTTAGGCTAGAAACTTACCAGCACATGGGGTCGGTTGTGCTGATACTACACTCTGTGCTATTTTGCACAGATCCAGGTTTCGGACAGCAGCAACAACAGCATTAGTGTGGGAGTAGGCCTTCAGTCCAGCGAGACCCGAGGTAGCGTTGCAGGCGTCCGCAGGCCCGGCGTCTCCCTTATCTTCTCTTTTAGTCAGTTATCTCATTGTGTCGAGACAAACAATTTGTGTTTCTTTCAGACGTTGTATTTAGTATTCTTAGCAGTTCGTGATTACAGTGACACCAGTCTTGGGTAGAGAATTTTGTTAAACTTTCCGCATTTCTATTCAGTTTTATAAAATGCTAAGACTTCCGCTTATTATTGAATTCTGTTGCTTTTATATTTTGTTGTTAATTGTTAAAATGTGTTAGATCTTTAATGGAAAGGTAATTAAAATTGGGTGGCCTAGCTCTCATTAGTAGGCGCCATCACGACTCCCGAGGGTGGGAAATCCGGGTCGTGACAAGTTGGTATCAGAGCTCTAGGTTGCATAGGTCTCACAACTCACGGACAAGCTTAGTAGAGTCTGAGGGATCGGTACGGAGACGTCCGTATTTATACCCCAGAGGCTACCGAGTTAGGAAAACTTTCACATTTGTTCTTTCTTATCGTGCGGTTTGGTTTCTCAATGCTAATTGAATTTCTACTCTGTTCTTTTGCAGATGGCGAGAACACGTGCTTCTTCATCTTCCTATCAGCAGTCCGAGCCCCAGGCAGCTCCCACTAGGGGCAGAGGACGAGGCCGTGGTAGAGGCCGAGGTAGGGGCAGAGCTCAACCCCGAACAGCAGCACCAATGGTGGAGCCTCAGGTCAACTTTGACGAGGAGGTTCCGGCCCCAGCCCCAGTAGTTCCGGTGGCCCCAGCTCAGGTCCCAGAGGGGTTTATTGCCACCCCAGTTCTTCAGGACGCTTTGGTCCGATTGGTGGGCCTCATGGAGAGTGTTACCCGAGCGGGTTTACTTCCTGTAGCACCAGCGGTCTCTCAGGCTGGAGGAGGGGCCCAGACTCCTGCTACTCGTACTCCGGAGCAGGTAGCTCCTCAGGTTCTGGCTCCACCAGTTCAGCCAGTTGGATCAGCTCAGCCGGGCGTGGTAGCCCAGGCAGGTGATGGGGCAGCCATGTCTGTCGATGCTTTATGGAGATTGGATAGGTTCACCAAGCTCTTTACTACTACTTTCAGTGGTGCACCCACCGAGGATCCTCAGGATTATTTGGACAGCTGCCACGAGGTTCTTCGGAACATGGGTATCGTTGAGTCCAATGGAGTTGACTTTGCTGCATTTCGCCTATCTGGATCCGCCAAGACTTGGTGGAGGGATTTCTGTTTAGCTAGACCAGCAGGGTCTCCAGCCTTGACCTGGGAGCAGTTCACGCATACATTTCTGGAGAAGTTTCTCCCTGTCACACAGCGTGAGGCCTATCGGACGCAGTTTGAGCGTCTCCATCAGGGATCTATGTCAGTCACCCAGTACGAGACCAGGTTTATTGAGTTGGCTCGCCATGCTACTGTCATACTCCCTACTGAGAGGGAGAGAGTGAGACGATTTATCGATGGACTCATCCAGCCTATTCGTCTTCAGATGGCCAGAGAGGCGGGGAGTGATATTACATTTCAGGAGGCGGCCAATGTGGCCTGGAGGATCGAGATGGTATTGCCACAGGGGGGTGGTCATAGAGCAGACAAGAGACCCTGTCAGTCAGGCCGATTCAGTGGTGCCTCATCTGGAGGTAGGGATTCTTATGATAGGGGTCAGCCTTCTAGGCCTTTCCAGTCAGCCCTCCAGGTTTCTCAGGGTGCCCTAGGTGATCGTGGTTTCCGTGGGCATTATTCCGATCAGCAGTCCCTCAGTGTACCGTCAGCTCCCATCAGTGCACCGCCACTTTAGAGTTTCCATGGAGGTCATTCAGGTCGCCAGGGTTCAGAGGGGTGTTATGAGTGTGGTGAGTATGTCACATCAGGAGAGCTTGCCCGAGATTGAGGGGTACTCAGTCGCAGCAGTAGGGTCCCCGTCCTATGATTCAGGCACCGGATGCTCCACAACCAGCTAGAGGTGGAGGTAGAGGCCATAGAGGTGGAGGTAGAGGCCATAGAGGTAGAGCTCAGACCACCAGGNGGTTTATTGAGTTGGCTCGCCATGCTACTGTTATACTCCCCACTGAGAGGGAGAGGGTGAGACAATTTATTGATGGACTCATCCAGCCTATTCGTCTCCAGATGGCCAGAGAGGCGGGGAGTGATATTACCTTTCAGGAGGCGGCCAATGTGGCCCGGAGGATCGAGATGGTATTGCCACAGGGGGTGGTCATAGAGCAGACAAGAGATCCCGTCAGTCAGGCCGATTCAGTGGTGCCTCATCTGGAGGCAGAGATTCTTATGATAGGGGTCAGCCTTTCTAGGCCTTTTCCAGTCAGCCCTCCAGGTTTCTCAGGGTGCCCTAGGTCGATCGTGGTTTCCGTGGGCATTATTCTGATCAGCAGCCATTCAGTGCACCGCCAGCTCCTATCAGTGCGCCGCCGCTTCAGAGTTTCCGTGGTGGTCATTCAGGTCGACAGGGCCAGCAGACTCAGCAGCCGAGGGCTTGTTACATTTGTGGTGACACGGGTCATATTGCCAGATTTTGCCCTCGAGCACCGAGCAGTTCTCAGCACCAGGGTTCTCGTGCCATGGTTCAGGCACCAACTGCTCCACAGACCACCCAGCCAGCTAGAGGTGAGGGTAGAGGTGCCAGAGGGGGAGGTAGAGGTCATAGAGGTGGAGCTCAGACCGCCAGATGTGGAGGCCAGCCAGTAGTAGGCCGTCCCAGAGAGGCAGATCAGAGTGGTGGGGCCCAGTCCCGATGTTATGCTCTTCAGGCTAGGCCTGAGGCAGAGGCTTCAGATGCGGTTATTACAGGTACGGTTCTGATTTGTGATAGAGATGCTTCAGTGTTGTTTGATCCGGGGTCTACGTATTCGTATGTGTCATCCTATTTTACCCCGTATTTGATCATGCCTAGTGATGCATTGGGTATTCCTGTTTATGTATCTACACCAGTGGGTGATTCTATTGTGGTCGATCGAGTTCATCGCTCTTGTGTTCGGGATTCCAGTGCTGAGGTTCCCTCTATCGATTCTGTGCCCGTTGTTTGTGAGTTCCCTGATGTTTTTCCTTCAGACCTGCCGGGCATGCCACCCGACAGGGATATTGATTTCTGCATTGATCTGATTCCGGGCACTCATCCCATTTCTATTCCGCCATATCGTATGGCCCCGCTGGAGTTGAAGGAGTTAAAGGGAGCAGTTGCAGGATTTGCTTGAGAAGGGTTTCATTAGACCCAGTGTGTTTCCTTGGGGTGCTCCAGTATTATTTGTCAAGAAGAAGGATGGGTCAATGAGGATGTGTATTGATTACCGGCAATTGAACAAGGTAACGGTCAAGAATAAGTATCCACTGCCGAGGATTGATGATTTGTTCGACCAGCTTCAGGGTGCCAGGGTATTTTCCAAGATTGACTTGCGATCTGGCTACCATCAGTTGAGGATTAGGGCATCTGATGTCCCTAAGACAGCTTTCCGCACTCGGTACGGGCATTATGAGTTTTTGGTTATGTCATTCGGGTTGACAAATGCCCCAGCAGCTTTCATGGACTTGATGAACCGAGTGTTCAGGCCTTATTTGGATTTATTCGTGATAGTGTTCATTGATGATATATTGATATATTCCCGCAGCCAGGAGGAGCACGAGCAGCACCTTAGAGTGGTTCTTCAGATTCTGAGGGATAGTCAGTTATATGCTAAGTTCTCGAAGTGTGAATTCTGGTTGGGTTCAGTTGCATTTCTGGGTCATGTTGTATCGGCATAAGGTATTTAGGTGGACCCGAAGAAGATAGAGGCAGTCAAGAACTGGCCTAGACCAGCATCAACTATAGAGATTCGGAGTTTCTTGGGGTTGGCAGGCTACTACAGACGGTTCGTGGAGGGATTTTCATCTATTGCAGCCCCGATGACCAGATTGACCCAGAAGGGTGCCCAGTTCAGATGGTCGAATGAGTGTGAGGCGAGCTTTTAGAAGCTCAAGACAGCTCTGACTACGACATCAGTGTTGGTTTTGCCCACAGGTTCAGGGCCTTATACAGTCTATTGTGATTCTTCCCGTGTTGGACTTGGAGCAGTGTTGATGCAGGATGGCAAGGTCATTGCCTATGCTTCGAGACAGTTGAAGATTCATGAGAAGAACTATCCAGTGCATGATCTAGAGTTGGCAGCCATTGTTCACGCGTTGAAGATCTGGAGGCATTATTTGTATGGCGTGGCATGTGAGGTGTTCACTGATCACAAGAGTCTTCAGTACTTGTTCAAGCAAAAGGAGTTGAATTTGAGGCAGAGGAGGTGGTTGGAGTTGTTGAAAGATTATGATGTCACCATTTTATATCACCCGGGGAAGGCCAATGTGGTGGCCGATGCTTTGAGTAGGAAGTCAGCTAGTATGGGCAGTCTTGCTTTTATTCCGGTCAGTCAGAGGCCGCTTGCTTTAGATGTTCAGGCTTTGGCCAATCGATTTGTGAGGTTGGATATTTCTGAGCCTAGCAGAGTATTAGCTTGCACAGTCGCTCGTTCTTCATTACTGGAGTGTATCCGTGATCGGTAGTTTGATGATCCCCATTTGTGTGTCCTTAGAGACACGGTGCAGCGAGGAGGTGCCAAGCAGGTTACATTGGATGCTGATGGAGTCTTGAGATTACAGGGGCGAGTTTGTGTGCCCAATGTGGATGGACTTCGGGAGTTGATCTTAGAGGAGGACAATAGTTCCCGATATTCTATTTATCCGGGCGCCGCGAAGATGTACCAGGATTTGCGGCAACATTATTGGTGGCGTAGAATGAAGAAGGATATTGTGGCATATATGGCGCGGTGTTTGAATTGTCAGCAGGTTAAGTATGAGCATCAGAGGCCTGGTGGTTTATTTCAGAGGATTGAGCTTCCCGAGTGGAAGTGGGAGAGGATCACTATGGACTTCGTTACTGGACTTCCGTTGACCCGGAAGAAGTTCGATGCAGTTTGGGTCATTGTTGATAGGCTGACCAAGTCAGCGCATTTCATTCCTGTGGCAGTCTCCTATTCATCGGAGAGGTTAGCTGAGATCTATATTCAGGAGATTGTTCGCCTTCATGGTGTGCCCGTATCTATCATTTCGGACCGGGGTACGCAGTTTACCTCGCGCTTCTGGAGAGCAGTTCAGCGAGAGTTGGGCATACGGGTCGAGTTGAGCACAGCATTCCATCCCCAGACGGACGGGCTGTCCGAGCGGACTATTCAGATTTTAGAGGACATGCTCCGAGCTTGTGTTATTGACTTTGGAAGTTCGTGGGATCAGTTTTTGCCTTTAGCGGAGTTTGCCTACAACAACAGCTACCAGTCGAGCATCCAATTGGCTCCTTATGAGGCTTTATATGGTAGGCGGTGTCGGTCTCCGGTTGGATGGTTTGAGCCGGGAAAGGCTCGGTTGTTGGGTACAGATTTGGTTCAGGAGCCTTGGACAAGGTCAAGATCATTCAGGATAGGCTTCGTTCAGCTCAGTCTAGGCAAAAGAGCTATGCAGATCGTAAGGATCGAGATGTAGCTTTCATGGTTGGTGAGCGGGTATTGCTCCGAGTGTCGCCTATGAAAGGCGTGATGAGATTTGGGAAGAAAGGAAAGCTTATCCCTAGGTTCATTGGTCCGTTTGAGATTCTTGATCGAGTGGGAGAGGTGGCTTATAGACTTGCATTGCCGCCTAGCTTATCAGCCGTTCATCCAGTTTTTCATGTATCCATGCTTCGGAGGTATCACGGCGATCCAGCTCACGTGTTAGATTTCAGCACTCTCCAGTTGGACAAGGGCTTGTCTTATGAGGAGGAGCCGGTAGCTATTCTGGACCGGCAGGTTCGTCAGTTGAGATCCAAGAGTTTTCCTTCCGTTCGTGTTCAGTGGAGAGGTCAGCCTCCCGAGGCATCGACCTGGGAGTCCGAGTCTGATTTGCGGAGTCGTTATCCTTATCTTTTCCTCGACTCAGGTACTTCTTTCTTTTGTCCATTAGAGGACGAACGGTTGTTTTAGAGGTGGAGAATGTGACGACCAAAGGGTCATCACCTGTTTTCCTATTTATTCCGTGCTTCCGAGGCCTTGAAAACCTCATTTGGGGTTGCCTCGATTTGCATGCACAATCCGGGCGCGTAGCCGGAAAGCTTAAATATGAATTCTGTGAGAAAAATGCTAAATTTTGATATTTAATTGATTAAATTTGACTTCGGTCAATATTTTGGGCAAACGGACCCGGACCCGTGATTTGACGGTCCTGGAGGGTCCGTAGGAAAATATGGGACTTGGGCGTATGCCCGAAATCGAATTCCGAGGTCCCAAGCCCAAGAAATGAATTTTTGTGTGAAATTGTTTTTTGGAAATAATTAAGGAAATTGGAAATGAAATTTGATTAAAAGACTATGGTATCGGGCCCGTATTTTGGTTCCGGCGCCCGGTACAAGTCTTATATATGGTTTAAGCGCTTTCTGTAAAGTTTGGTTGAAAACGGACGTCGTTTGACGTGTTTCGGACTTAAAACTCTAAATTTGAAAGTTTATGAAGTTTGAGGAAAAACTTGTGATTTTGAGGTTTGATTCGTTGTTTTTGATGTTATTTTGGCGATTTGATCGCCCGGTTAAGTTCGTAGGGTGTTGTCGAGTTAGTGTATGTGTTTGGTTAGGAGCCCCGAGGGCTCGGGAGTGTTTCGGAGGTGTTTCGGGATGGTTTTTGACTTAGAAAGATTGCAGGTTTTGCTTCAGCTGTGCATGTCCCTTTTTGTTCTTCGCGTTCGCGACGCATCCTTCGCGTTCGCGATGGCTATGAGTTCTCCCTTCATCGCGTTCGCATACTTGCCCCGCGTTCGCGTAGAGTCATTTGACTCTGAGGACTCAGCCCACTTTTACTCTCTTCACATTCGCATCTACCTACTCGCGAACGCGTAGTGTTGCAGATCCCCTTCCTCGCGTTCGCGTTCGCGTTAGGGTCCACGCGTTCGCGTAGACCAAGTTCTGGACCCCCAGCCTCTCCTCTTCGCGTTCGCAGACTTCCCATCGCGAACGCGATGCCCTGCCCAGATTACCCTTCGCGAACGCGTCTCTCTTTCCGCGAACGCGAAGGGCAATTTTTCCCAGTTATATTTTTAATTTCCAGAACAGTGTAGTTACGGGAATTTCATAAAAACACACGAGCTCCTTCTTCTCCAAGGTCTTTAGGCGTCCATTGAAGCTCCCTTTCACCAAAACTTCTTGGGTTAGTAAATCTTAACTCGTTTTCTTGGGGGGACTATCTGTATTGGGAAAAATAATATTTATATGTAAAGGTGACGTGTCAAGACACGTGGATTGGTCAAATGGTCAAAGAATTGCAATTAGCTAAGAGTCATGAGTTACAACAGATACGAGTAAAGAAAGAGGAAGAGGCACGGGACATCAGACAAGTAACACGGCGCCCGTACCTATTTAAGTCATTTATATCCGAGAATCAGAAGGAATGAATCTGACAATAGAAAAGAGTGCAGATACGGCATTTAATGAGTATTAAATGCTGAATACGTTAGAGAATATATTTTGAATGTAATGATTGTGCAACGTAGCATTCAATGTCTTTAATTACTCATAATAGCCTCATTATGACTTGAGCAAAACGTATATTCTCAAAAGTACCTATAAAAAGGAGATATATAATCAGTTGTAAGGACACGAAAAATCATCTGAATATACTTTGGTTTACTTGCTTTATTCAATATATTCTGGCTATTCAAATTATTCTCTTTTATATATTCTTGCGTAATCAGTAACCGTCACTACAAAAAAAATTGTCAAATTGTGGCGGTTTATTTATGGGGGTCATAAAAAACTCCCACTATACATTTGTTTTGTGGCGTTTGAGCCAACCCCCACAAAATAGTTCTTATTGTAGCGGTTTAAAAGTGGGGGTTATAACAGACCCCTACTATATATTTAATTTGTGGCGTTTGTTCCAACCTCCTTAATTTTTTTCTTATTATGGCAGTTTTTTGTGAAGGTTTTTGATGACCTCCACAAATATATCAATTTCAACTGTTTGAGAAATTGTTGCAATTCGATAGAAATTAATGATTTGACTCATGCAAATTTTTAGTATTTTTTTCCACCTTATTTCTTTAAAATTTAATCAAATTACGTATTATAGTTAAAACAACTGCGAATTAATGCAATTTACATCAATACTATACCTTCTAGTTTGTAATCTTTTTCTCCTCCCTTTCTTCAACTGCAAAAAGAAGATATGAGGTCTTTCATGTTCTCTCTATGTCTTACTCGCTAGTTTTTCATTTATTGTCTTTGTGCATTTCTATAATTCATCTCTTTATCTTTAGCAAAAAATAAATATACATCTATTTCATTTCTTCCTCATAGATTTTTTATTATATTATACGAAATGTCTACCCATAAATACTAAACATAATTTCTAACCATGTGAGTATCGTGAACCTTTAGGTGCAAAAAACGAATGTGACTGGCGTTGGACCACGACATTGGATAACAAAAGAATAATGCAAAATGAGCCATCACAAAAGTTGAGGTGTGGCTCAACAAAAGCAAGGAATGAACGGTGATTCAAGCTAGTCTCACCGTCACAAGTGATACTTGTCTCCAAAGAAGAAGACAAATATATAGAGAATTGAATATATCAGGTACTCACTGAGTCTCACTGAACAAAATGTAGGGTCAACGAGGCCTAATATAAACGAAAAAATATGCTTTAGGTTAACCATAAATAATATTTGCATTCATAGGTAACGACTACACATCAGATGAACAACAGTTGCAGGAGAGACATCCAAGTATTTTAATTATCCACATAAACATTTAATTTTTTTATTTTGCTTGAGATAATTTAAATTTTAAAGGGGTATAGATAATTGCAATACTTAGCATGCGAATTTTCTTTATTTTTATCATAGCAGGCATTCTACGTTCAAATAGTATTTTCAAAGGCGGGTGTGTGAGGCGAGCCATTTTACTACGGGACGATGTGTAAGCCCCATATATCTTTAATATTTTTTAATAAGAAATTACGCATAAATAGAAAGTCTATTAAAGTTTAAGAAATTTAAAAAGAAAATAAAGAACTCATACAAAAATATCTAGTATGTTTTTACAAATATAAATAATACAATAGTGTTAAAGTTGATGTGAGATACAACTATAATGTCTTAATTTTCAAACAATTAGAAAATTATAATTTCTTTAAAATATATGAAGATATATTTTACCTGCCTAAAAGTAATTAATCAAGAAAGTTCATTAATACTATAATTTACAAGATTACTCCTTCATGTATATACAAAATTACTTTCAAAGAGCAAAACAATAAAAGCCTAATATATAGTTTAAGACATGAAGACCAATAACAATAAGATACAAATTTTGATTATCTAATTTAGAAGAAATAGTCTAATGATATTCACACTCACAAATGTTATCAATTAGTAAATTTGACTCATGCAAATTTTTAGTTATTTTTTTCACCTTATTTCTTTAAAATTTAATCAAATTACGTATTTTAGTTAAAACAACTACGAATTAATGCAATTTACATCAATATCTATACCTTCTAGTTTGTAATCTTTTTCTTCTCACTTTCTTCAACTACAAAAAGAAGATATGAGGTCTTTCATGATCTCTCTATGTCTTACTCGTGTCATGTACTTGTTTAATTGTGTAATTGTGCCCGAGGGGCGGATCTTCTATGCTTATCTGTTCTAATTGCTTGCGTTCAATTGCTTAACTGTTGAAAAGCCATTTTTGAAGAAGTTTAAACTGAGCTAAGGTGCTTAAGAGATTTCACAGCTTCATTGCTTCTTGCTGGTTTTGTACTGCTTCTATACAGCATGTTGACGTACTCTTCGTGATTTCCTATTACTGAGTCTTCATTTATTTTTATTACTCACTGAGTTGGAAGTATTCACTTTACTCCCTGCACCTTGTGTGCAGATTCAGATATTTCCGAACCCGGTAGCGGGTATTGGTTGCTCAGAGGTAGAGTCATCAGAGTTTAGCAAGGTAGCTTCCCGACGTTCGCAGCACTGCTTTTCCCCCTCTCGATTTCATTAGACTGTATTTAGTATATTTTTTACTTTAGTTGTATTCGGACCTTAGTAGATGCTCATGACTGGTGACACCCCGATATCGGGTTGTGTTGGTTTTTATTTCCGCAAATTATACTGTTAAGTGCTCATTTTGGGATTTTATTTCCGATTAAAGACTTAGTAGTTATTGGTTTAGTTGTTTAAAGTAAATTGGAGGTGTGTCGGCTGGCCTTGTCTTCACGAGAGACGCCATCACGACCGGGTTGGGATTTAGGGTCGTGACAACTCGCTTGTTTTTCATTTATTGTCTTTGTACATTTCTATAATTCGTCTCTTTATCTTTAGCAAAAAATAAATAGACATCTATTTCATTTCTTCCTCATAGGTTTTTTATTTATAGATTATACGAAATGTCGATCCATAAATACTAAACATAATTTCTAACCACGTGAGTATCGTGAACCTTTAGGTGCAAAAAAAGAATGTGACTGGCGTTGGACCACGACATTGGTAACAAAAGAATAATGCAAAATGAGCCATCAAAAAAGTTAGAGGTGTGGCTCAATAAAAGTAATCCTATTACTTTTAGGATATACTTCTTAAAAATTCCTATTACTAATTTAATTTGAAAACGTATGATAATCTCCTATTACTAATTTAATTTGAGAATGTATTATAGGCACCAAATGATTGAAGTAGGGATATCTCAACCATTGGACTCAAATGAAATATCAAATGAGGGGCATAGGGAGGTTGTAGTGACTTTCATGATTTTCTCAAAGATAGAAGTGAAACACTGTATGAAGGCAGCAAGTTCACAAAGCTAGAGTTTTTTATAAAATTGTATCATATAAAGGTCTATTGTGGATTAAGTGACAAGGCAATGACTATGATACTAGATTTGTTGAGAGATGCATTTGAAGATGCAAAGTTACCTCCTTCCTTTTATGAGGCCAAAAAAACCATTAGCAAACTTGGCCTTGACTATACCAAGATACCTGCATGTCCAAATAATTGTATGCTATACTGGGAAGGTGATTCAGAATTGGAAGCATGTAAGCATTGTGGTACATCTAAATGGAATCCTAACAAGAAAAAAAAGCAAGCTGCAAAGGTTTTGCGTTATTTTCCATTGAAAGCAAGATTGCAACAATTATTTATGTGTTGTAAGACTGCTGAACATATGAGATGGCATGCTTTAGGCAATAATGCTGATGGGTTGATGAGGCATCCAAGGGATGGTGAGGCATGGAAGACATTTGATCGGACTCATTCTGAATTTGCTTCGGATCCTCGAAACGTTCGCTTAGGCCTTGCTAGTGATGGTTTCAGTCCTTTTGGAACAATGAGTACTACATATAGTATTTGGCCAGTCTTCTTGATTCCATACAATCTACCTCCTTGGATGTGTATGAAGCACACCTCCTTCATCTTATCAATGATCATTCCAGGGAAGCACATGCCTGGAAATAATATAGATGTGTACTTACAACCCCTCGTGAAGGAATTACACGAGTTATGGAATGATGGTGTAGAAACGTTTGACTCATCATTGAATGAAAATTTTAGAATGCATGCAGCTCTTATGTGGACAATCAGTGACTTTCCTGGATTAGGTATCTTATCTGGATGGAACACACATACTGGTTTTGCCAGCCCAACTTGTAACTTTGACACAGAACCTTGTCGTCTTCGTCATAGTAAAAAGTGGTGCTTTATGGGCCATCGACGTTTTCTGAGAAGAAATCACAGGTTTAGGTTGAATCGAGTACGCTTTAATGGAAGCACAGAGGAGCGAAATCCACCATTAAAATTGTCAGGGTCTGCCATTTTGAGACAAATTGAAGAAGGGAGAGGAGCAGAGTTGAATTGTAGAGGGAAAAGATCTAGACGAGCAACTAAGCAATGGAACAAGAGAAGTATATTCTTTGAACTTCCTTATTGGAAATCTAATTTGTTGCGTCATAATCTAGACTTTATGCATATTGAAAAAAATATATGTGACAATATATATACATTGCTCCATGATAAATCGAAATCAAAAGATAATATTAATGCCCAAAAGGATCTAAAAGAAATGGGCATAAGGCGTGATCTTTGGCCGGATGATAGTGGAAAATATCACCTTGCTGTGTTTTCACTTATGACTGATAAAAAAGGAAGCTGGACACTAAAAAGTTGTTCCTTACAACTTTGAAGAATATTAAAGTACCAGATGGCTACTCAAGTAACATTTCTAGCAGTGTTGATTTGGTACAAAAAAAGATTTTTGGGTTGAAAAGTCATGATTTCCATATTATTTTAGAGCAATTGCCACCATTGGCGATTCGCAATGTGCTGCCCGACCATGTAGTTGCAGTTTTGGTGGACTTCTGCTCATTTTTCAAAGCCCTTTCTAGCAAAACCTTGAATGTTTCAGAGCCTGATAAGCTCCAAGAGCACATTGAAAGCACACTTTGCCATCTGGAGATACTATTTCCTCCAGCATTCTTTACAGTAATGGTTCATTTGTCTGTCCATCTAGCAGAGGAAGCAAAACTCGGAGGTCCAGTGCATCATCGAAACATGTATCCCGTCGAGAGGTAAAACATTAACATTTCTAATTTGAAGATACTTGCATTCTGGTCACTTGAATTAGTTTGTACACTTATGGCCTATTATTTTATAGGGAGTTGGGACATTTTAAGTCCTTTGTACGGAATAAAGCACAACCAGAGGGTTCTATAGCTGAGGGTTACTTAGCCGAAGAGTCTCTTACCTTTTGTTCTCGGTATATTGAGGATATTGAGACAAGATTCAATAGACCTAGGCGTGTTCGTGATGACCCAAATGTCACTGAGCCTTCTGGAACGTCCTCTATATTTCCTCAATTAGGTAAACCTGCATCAGCTTCGATTACATTTCCTTTAACTGATATGCAGAAACTACAAGCTCATTGATATGTGCTTCTGAATTGTGCAATAGTCACGCCATTTGTTGAGTGAGTAACTCATACAAACTTTATATTCTTTATCATTGTAATGTTTGAGTAGGCTAGTCTTGTTCTTTAACATGTAATTATTTCATATAGTGAGTTTAGACAGTACATAAGAAGGAGTTCAAGAAGAAGACCTTCACCTACAGAGATAGAGAGGAGAGTTAATAAAGAGTTTGTTGATTAGTTCCAAAAGCGGGTGAGTGAGTAATCATTAGTTATTGTTTACATTTGGTTTGAATGAGCAAACTTCACTAAGACAATTTTGTTTTGATTTAGATTATGAATCCAGACACAATAGATACAATGTCTATTGATCTAAAGTTTCTCGCACGAGGTCCATCGGTAGTTGCAAGACGTTTTACTGCATATAACATCAATGGGTCCAAATTTCGAACTTTGGCTCGAGAAGAAGGTCTAAGAACACAGAATAGTGGAGTTTTCTTAACTTCTAAAACATCATGTGTTGCAAGTAGTATTGACGGAAATTTAAGGCAAGCAGAGTTACCATATTATGGGAAGTTAGAAGATATTCTCGAGATTAATTATTATGGTCGATTCAAGGTTGTTCTTTTCAAATGTAGATGGACTGATACTGCTCGAGATAGAGGGTATAAAAAGGATCGTTGGAACTTAAATTGTGTTAATTTTGATTGATTGATTCATACCGGTGAACGTGAAGAACATGAGCCTTACATCGAAGCTTCTCAAGCACAAATGGTGTACTATGTGGATGATGTTGCCAATAAAGGGTGGAGTGTTTCTATGCATCTAAAGCCAAGAGATCTGTATGATATGGGAGAAGAAGTAGTGGAAGATGAAGTATATGAGAATGAACCATACCAAGAGCAAGAACTCGANTATTGATTACATGTGAGGTATGAGAGTAAAATCACGAAGGGTGATGCCGTGCACGTTGATATACTATTGTTTGGGTGAGGATGAGAGTAAAAGCACGAAGGTGATGCCGTGCACTTGTTGATCTCTGTTTCTTGTTGTTGTATGAGTTGTGTTTTTCCTTCGTATCTGTCAGTTTATACTTGAAACTGTTATCTCCCCACAGCATGTTCCCCTCCCATATTATTTACTTGTCTTGTATTTCGATTCCGCTATATATATATAATTGCACAAGTTTATGTGGTAGTCCAGTCTAGCCTCGTCACTACTTCGCCGGGGTTAGGCTAGACACTTACCAGCACATGGGGTCGGTTGTGCTGATACTACATTCTGTGCTATTCTGCACAGATCCAGGTTTCGGACAGCAGCAGCAGCAGCATTAGTGTGGGAGTAGGCCTTCAGTCCAGCGAGACCCGAGGTAGCCTTGGAGGCGTCCGCAGGCCCGACGTCTCCCTTATCTTCTCTTTTAGTCAGTTATCTCATTGTGTCGAGACAAACAGTTTGTGTTTCTTTCAGATGTTGTATTTAGTATTCTTAGCAGTTCGTGAGTACAGTGACACCGGTCTTGGGTAGAGAATTTTGTTAAACTTTCCGCATTTCTATTCAGTTTTATAAAATGTTAAGACTTCCGCTTATTATTGAATTCTGTTGCTTTTATATTTTGCCGTTAATGGTTAAAGTGTGTTAGATCATTATTGGAAAGGTTATTAAAATTGGCTGGCCTAGCTCTCATTAGTAGGCGCCATCACGACTCCCGAGGGTGGGAAATCCGGATCGTGACATCTTCATACAAAGCTTATCAACTACCTGAACCACATACTTGGAAGCAATACATTCTCTAATGTGTCGAATGAATAAGAATGTATGGCTAGCTCGTTGTTCATTATTAGCACTAGTATGTCTCTGTTCTATTTTGTTCATGGTTGAACAACAACTATTCAAATCTTGTGCAACTACAAAATGAATAGAATACCCAAGAGTATTATAGAAGATATGTGGGGAACCAATCATTTGGTTTGAGGTGGCCACCGGATCTGTAATGCGGGAAGATGAACTCAAAGGTTCAGTTGTTACCCATGTCAAGGCATTTGTTAGTGAGTGTAGGCCAAACCAAGAAAGTTCTGATCCTTCCACTTGTGAATCAGCATTGTCACATTTCTTCAGCGATATATCACTTATCTCGAAGCCAATAATTATATTTCTAATTATTTCACTATAATAAGAATTCACACACCATTGTCGTCCGGGATCCCATACTTTAGTTATAGAGTAAGAATATGCGTATGAGCAAAACTTGCCAGTAGATTCCAGCAGTAGCAATAACTTACACTTCGGAGTCCAGAAATTCTCCATATGCGTTGTGGAAACCAGTGCACCGCCAGTCCATGGATCGCAGTCCCCCAATATGAAAGTTCTAGCAACTTTCTCAATTATAGGTGCTACAGACTCTCGGCCACCACAAGGAAATGGATAAGCAAGTCTAACAGATTTCGCACCGGAAGATGAGACTACCAATTCACTGCTATCAAGAGAAAGCAAACATGATTCCATGATAACATCACCAAACATAGAAAGTTTTTCGTCCATCAAAATTGTCTCTTTACGCTCAATATCTGAGACCTCATTAGCCATCATGAACTTCTTATCAAAAAAATTCCACAGATATAGACTCCTGGGAATGTGAAGCAATATGACATTTTCAAATGGATGTGTGACTTGAGAAGGGCTCGCAATCACTTTCGGCACTACATCCTCTCCGCTAGTAAAAGGTACCAAAAAATTGGTTGCCGCATCAGTTGGAGAGATATAGTTCTTGTCAATGGTTCGTTTGGGGTTTCCATCAAGCACCTTGTCTACCTCTGAGTGGCCATCTTCCAAGTCAGATACAATAGCTAGTACCGTGGAGCCGCAATTATGTGGCATTTCGTTGAACACATGGTCTTCATCTAAAAATTCTTCTTTCCTAGTCACCAGTACATTACTTGCTTGTAGCTCAAGTAATATTTCCATGTTTTTAAAAGGCTCAACATCAACATGACTACCAGTAGCGATATTGTACGTGGAAGCGACATCAATATGCTTTTCTGGTAACTCGCTAGTTTAAACAACTGCTTCATTATCTCGAATGGTGCCCGACATTTCCTCAAACACCTCGTATGCCAGGTTCAAGTTGTTCCTGTCCGAGTGTTTCTTCCAATGCTGAGGTGAGGATGAGGTGTTAATCTTGCACCACGATGGAATAGCCGCAACTCGTGCTAGTAAATCAGCCATTGGCTTTCGCTGTTGGTGAATAGCTAAGCACCCGCCAAGTTCTTCTCTAGTTCGGGTGCGAAAATGCAGCTTCAGTTTCTCCTTAAAATGATTCCAATCAAAAAATTGCTTATTTCGAAATAGCCAATCAAACCAAGCAAGAGCTGCACCATCAAGGTAGTGGTAAGGAAGAGGCAACCAGTCCTTCTCGGAGAAGCCAAGGTAGGTGAAGTACAACTCAGCCTGAACAATCCAACCCTCTGGGTTTCCACCACTAATTCGATCTAATACCACCATTGCTGTTGGACTACGAACGATGAAAGCACCAATGTAACAAACCGAATAGCAACCAAACCAACTAGCTATATTGATTCACTGAACGGACTTACAAATACTGGAAATTGCAATGAAGCAGTAAAGGATAATTGAGAGATAACATAGAGGGATGAGAGGGCAGAAATACACCATAAAAGAAAGGAGATGAGAAGCTTAGATGTAGAGCAAGGAGATGAGAGGAACAAACATATTCTTCTTCAACAATAGGCATAATCCCCAAAATCACTGACCACTATTCTATTTAATAGAAATGTTCTTGGGCTCATTACTCAACCTGGATCCCAAATCAGCCTAGCCATATTACTTGTTCTCGGCCCAATAGCTCTTCTCAGCCTAATAGTTATTTGTGTGTTAATATCCTTGCTGGGCTGGGGTTGATTCATAACACAATGGCTCTTCACTAACCAAGGTTATTAATTAGTTCAAACTCTAATAGAACTTGATGGTGCGGTTTTTCGGTTTCTTTTGTACACCCCTAATGGAGATTATATTGATATTCTCCGCTCTTAATATCATAAATGAAGGGCGTCTTGGAACAATAGTAAAGTTATTTTTGTGTGACTTATAGGTTATGAATTTGAGTTGTGGAAGCAGTTATTAATACTTGCATTAGGGTATGTTATCTCTCCTTAGGATGTGGCCGTTTTCCGAACACTACGTGCAAGGGCGAATTTATAGATTAGGCACGTGAATCCATGGTCTCTTCACAAAATTAAATATTTTATGTATATTTTCTAAATTTCGTATATAGTAACTGTTGGCACCCATATTCCAAGAAAGTTGAATGATATACTTGGTTGAAGGTATAATGTGTTTCGCAAGTTGAACCACTCTTTGTCATAAACGTACTTCCCTATATTCGGCGCTTATTTCTTTTTAACAAGGGAATTCGTTGTCTTTATCCTTCTGATGTGCACATGATAATCACAGCTCCTATGTTATAGCCCACAAAATTATATAGGAGGATAAACGCACTAGGCAACTACGTGTAACGAGATCAATCGAGGAGGTATGCAAGTGGCTTTCGGATCTCCCATTTGAAAAATCTCTTACTCAACCAATTCAGCCACCTCGAGGAGTTCCTAATTCTTATTGAAGTTCCCATTTTTAAGAAGGCAACTCCTCTCTTTCTTCATTTAAAATTTACGCTTTTGCTTTTCACCCGATACGCAATACTTCCATTAGAGCTCCAATTAATATAAATTCACGTTAAAAAAGAAAGTATTCCCTAATGGGATCCAAAACATATAATTAAGGATGAAAGAATTTTGGGGTATTATTACTTTTAGCCCGCACAAAAAATTATTTATATTTGGTAGCCGAAAAAGTGTATAAAACTTGTATAATTTTTGTATATAACGATAATGTGTATATATATACAAAATTATATACTTTTGTAAGGCTATTATTTTTAAAACAGTTATAGTGTCATTTTTCCAAGAATTTTATCTATCTTCCTATGATCTTTAAGGTTGTAATAAAGTAAGGATTGGGTGATTATCCGTACAATTTCTACGTCGGCACGTGGTAAATGACAAACAAAGAAAAAAATAAAATAAAAAGAAATAGAAAAATCTACAATCTTCAGCTGCCGGACAAAACTCTTAACAACGCCGAGAGAGCAACACATGTACCAAATCCCCAGACCTCCACCGCCATCTGCTGACGTGGACGGTGGTCCCGCCGGCGAACAACTCCCCCTTGCACTGCCGCCTCCGGCAATGGCTCTCGCTCTCCACAATCGGCGATCAATTCCCATAGTATTCGACGGTAAATGTTTTGATTGTTACACAACCAGAAGCTATTGGTTCAAGTAGGAGAGTCTTATCCTGCCCGCATGTCTTAATCCATCAAAGCTATTTGAAGCTTTTGAGGAGCATTTGAGCAGTGGCATTGTAAAGCCTTCATCTGGGTTGGGTTTAAATGTTGAGGGCGAAGATGGATTTGTTCATGTTTTACCGAAAAATGAGGTCTTTGATGCCGGAAGCTGCCGACTTATCACCGGAAAATGGAGGAAAGGGGAAGACAATACTTGAGATTGGAAGGGTAATGGAAATCGTATGCCTGAGTGGTAAGGTTGCTGTGGTGGCTGAAATGGGGCGGGTCTAGTGCTTCAGCATCGGGTTTATAGATTTTTACGGGACAATCCATGAATATTTACAAATATTAGATCGAACCCATAATTTTAAAGCAAATGAGTTCAAGCCTAAGGTCAAACTCATCAATTAGTGGCAGGTACTATTTAGCTAATGTGGAGTAGAGCCTTGCTTAACCGATAAAGTTGTCGCCATGTAATCAGGAGGTCACGAACCGTAAAAATAGTTTCTTACAAAAATACAGGTAAGATTGCGTACAATATAGCCTTGAGGTCTGGCCTTTCCTCGGACCCATGCAAAGCGGGAGTTTAGTGCACCGTGCTGCCCTACCATATAATTAATGTGAATTCAGAGGTTTTGACTAACCAGCTGTGTATTAATTAAGCCAGTGGTTGCTACGTAACATGGTTTCACTTTCTCATTTTATATTGTACACTCCTCAAATAAAATAGATTAACGTTCTTCCCCATATGGAACCCATTTATGTGAAGTCAAGTCTTTATTTATATGTATGTTTTCTTCTTTTCCTTCTCAAATATTTTGGTTATAAGAGAAGACATTTCTTGGCTAATACAGTTTGCCCTATTAGCCACTTAAAAGGTAACCAACATGGTTTATAATATATCCAGAATCATCCACTCTGCTCTAGTCTTCAATGCACCGTCAAAACGAGCCGAACGGCTTGTGCTCCATTAGCACACAAACACTCTAAGAAGTAACCCCACCTTTAAACAACCAAGTAAATCCCTTCTCCCTGCACACTACATTCACCACGAATAACAAATCCAAATCTTTCCAAGATTTTCATATGCCCATAAAGTATAGTAGGCAATTTCCTTGCTCAAGTCATCCTCGAAATCACCCTCTTCAAGTCATAAGTGATCCACATGTATACCTCAGTCCAAAACTAATATAACACATGACCATGCATTCTGACCATGCCACATGACCATGTGGCATAGTATTATATTTCCTTAATTAAAGTTGTCATCCTATTCTGTGAAGTCAAGTCTTTCTTTCTCTGTATAAAATTTAGTTGGTAAGATGATTGCAGATACCATTTCAACCACTCTGAGTTATGCCATCTTTCTTTGTCTTCTCACAATTTTTCTATGATTTATTAATCTCGAATCCGCATTAAAACCAGCTAATGTGAAGGTGCTACATGACATAACCAACATGGTTTATAATATATTAACAACTCTGTAGAATAATACTATTTTCCCCTAGTTGAAGTTGTCATCCCATCCCATCCCATCCATCCCAATAAGTCAACTCTTTCATTCTTTAAATACAAATACAATTTACTTGGTAACTTGCCTCCACATTCCATTGCAGCCCTTCAGAGGTAAGCCATTTTTCGTTGTCTTCTCAGATCTTTTTTCTTGGTTTACTATGCTATATCTTTTGTGCTTGCTGGTAGGAGAAGAGGTAGAGGGCGACCTACGAAGTATTGGGGAGAGGTGATCAGGCAGGATATGTGTGTTTTCTGTACCGTTTCTGGTTTGTTAGGGCTAGCCGGCTAGTACCTGTTCGTAGTTTCTTAGAAGGCTAGTGTTAGGGTGATTTTTAGTGTTATCTTTCGCTTAGTTTTTTCTAATACCTTGTTGTTGTTACTGCTTGGCTATTGCTATTGCTGTTGCTATTGCTTTCTTCCACCTGTTTTCCTGGTTTATACATTATTGGTTGCATTTTCTTGGCTTGTTGTTGATATTTATCTATTTCTATTCTTCGTCTTGAACCGATGGTCTTTCGCAAACAGTCTCTCTACCCCGATGGTAGGAGTAAGGTCTGGGTACACATTACATTCCCCATACCCCACTTGTGAGATTCTACTGGGTGGTTGTTGTTTTAACCAAATTACACGGATTAGAGATTAAAGATTATACGGAAGTGTAAAACCGTGTGTTTTGATGACCTGGACATGGAATTGAAGCAATGCCTATAAAAGATACCAAAAACATTCAATTTTTTGGTAGGATCAATGCACAGAAGCGATTGAGAGCTAAAGATAGCGAAGACTGGCATTATATCTGTTCTTCTTCATGTTTTTGCCTCCCTTTTGCTTTACTGATCATGTTATTTATAGCACCGTTGACCTCTTGCAACTTGCAGCTTTCAGGTCATAATTGGAATACAATAGATATGGCTTATGCTAGTGTTGCTTCTCTTATGAGTACGATGGAATCGGTCTTGACATCCAAGTCACCAGTGCAATCTCTAATTTTTGACCACCAAGAAGAACTTCTTGCTCTTCGTGAAAAAGTTAGTTCCCTGGAAGTATTTCTCAAGAACTTTGAGAAAAGCAACAAGTCTGAGGAAATGACAGATTTTGCAACACAGATAAAAGATGTTGCAAATGCTGTTGAACGCACAATTCAACTGAGACTAACTGAGTCTTTAACAGCAAATGATGGAATGCAGACTGAAAAGGCACACGAGAGGCTTTGTGATAGCCTAAAACAAGTAGCAGAGGAGATTGATCGTGTGCTGAAAGAGTCACCAAAGATTCAAGATAAAGGAAAACAGGCATTAAAGGAATCTTTGGTTCAAGATTCAAGTTCAAAAAAAAATACAGCGGATATGGAGAACAATATGGTGGGCCGTGATGAGCAAAGGAAAAGGATGCTGGCAGAACTGGCTCAATATGGTGGCTCGTCTGGTGAACTCAAAGTCATCCCAATCATCGGGATGGGGGGCATTGGTAAAACAACTTTAGCAAAAGAAGTTTACAATGATGCATCCATTCGACGTCATTTTGATGTTCGTTGCTGGGCTACTGTATCCAGCCAATACAATTTAAAGGAAATCTTGTTAAGTCTTCTGCGTTGTACTAAGGGTATCACATTTTATATGGAAGATGAGGCAGATCTAGCAGACATGCTACAAAAAAGTTTAAAGAGTAGAAGATACTTAATTGTATTGGATGACGTGTGGAGCAGTAAAGCATGGGATGACGTGAGACAATGCTTTCCAGTTCAAAACAATGGGAGTCGAATATTGTTGACTACCCGTAACAATGAAGTAGCTTGTTCTGCTGGTACAAAGGATCTTTCTTTGCCGATGGGTCTCATGAGTCCAGTTGAGAGTTGGAACCTTTTCAAAAGTGCGGCTTTTCCAAATGAATCATTACCATCTGACTTCGAGACTATAGGGAAGCAAATTGTAGACAAATGTCACGGGTTACCTCTAACTATTGTCGTGGTTGCTGGGCTTCTCAAATTTAAAAGGACAATAGAAGATTGGGAAAATGTTGCTAAAGATGTCAAGTCAATCACAAATGATCCTGATAAACAATGTTTACATGTGCTTGGATTGAGTTACAATCACTTGACCAGTGACCTAAAAGCATGCCTTCTCTATTTTGGAATCTTCCCAGAAGATAGTGCGATTCCAGTGAAGAAATTGGTGAGATTGTGGACGGCCGAGGGGTTTCTGAAGTTGGAAAAAGACTTGCAAGGAGAAGCTGAGAAGTGTTTACAAGATCTCATAGACAGATGTCTAGTTCTTGTCTGCAAGAAAAGTCTGGATGAAACAAACATTAAATCATGTAAGGTTCATGATCTAATATATGATCTGTGCTTGAGAGAATTAGCTCAAACCCAGGACATTTTTGCCATGAATGACATTTCAACTGATAAGCTGTGCTTGGCTGAAGCTCAAAGCTCAAATCTTGTTCGTCCAGAATGTCGTCATCTTAGCATGCATGAAATACGGCCCTTTCAGCGACAGACCGGTATTCACTTTGGTTCTTATAGGGCCCTTCTTACCCCTAGACATCATCATTTGATAAGGGGGCAGACAGCTGATGACAACAACAATCTCTTGAACCGAACCCACTCTATTTTCTCTTTATATCGTCATCCTTCAACTTTTACTCTCGAATCAGAGGTTATTCATTTCAGTTTGCTTAGAATCTTGGACTTGAATCCCATACGGTTTGATAGTTTCCCTCCACAGTTACTGTGCCTCATTTGGTTGAGGTACCTAGCGATGTCTGGGGATTTCCACTTACCTCCAGAAATTTGCAGGTTATGGAATCTGCAGACATTCATTGTCCATGGGTATCGTTCGGCATCTACAAGTTTTCCAGAGCAAATCTGGGAATTAATGCAATTAAGGCATCTCGAAATCGAAAGATTTTATTTGCCAAACCCCCCAAGTTTATCTGTTGACAAAGAGAGGTCCTTGGGTTTTTCAGACATGCAAAGTATTTCCGGCTTGTCTCCAACTAGCTGCACAATGGAGGTGATTTCAGGGATTCGGAATGTTAAAAAGTTAAGAATCTATGGAGTTAAAAATGAGTATGAAAGATTTCAAGAATCTAGACTTTACGAAAATCTTGTACATCTACATCAACTTGAAACATTGAGTTTGAAATTTATTTATCTGGGGTGGTCAGACATTTCGCCAGCCACTATTCCAAGTGCAAAAGCTTTTCCAGCGACACTCAAGAAGTTAAAGTTGCATGGAACTCGTCTAAGGTGGGAGGACTTGAATATCATAGGTGAGTTGCCTAACCTTGAGGTGCTGAAGCTGATATATTATGCTTGTTATGGCAAAGAATGGTATCCAGTTGCCGGGGGATTTACTCAGTTGAAGCTTTTGCAAATTGCCCATAGTGATCTGAGGTACTTGAAAGCCACAGATGACAATTTTCCTGTCCTTGAGCGCCTCGTGATTACAGATTGCTCGTACTTGGTAGAGATACCCATTGAGTTTGCAGATATTGACTCACTACAACTAATTGAGTTAAATGACTGTTTTCCTGGACTCAAGGCTTCTGCTGCACGAATTCAACAAGAACAAGAAGACCTCGGAAACAAACCTGTGGATGTTCGTATCTATAATTCTCCAGGTGAGTACCACATTATATTCCAGAATGAACTTCCCATAAATATATAAGACACTTTAGCATACTTTTATTAATGTTAGGCTAATTTTACATTTCCACAAGGTTATACTCATTAAGTTCTTTTGCTTGCTTCTTTTTGTTTTTGTTTTTTTAATTTTTAGTAACTTTTATATTCATGATTAATACACTTAATTTAAAAAAATCACATAACATTTGGATGGCAGCTTTGTTTTGATAATTTAACGAGTAAAATAGTTGAAGTGGTCTTGAATGTCCTTATTTTGAGTAGTCGTAGATGATGTGTTTGCCTTTTGAAGCGTCAGGGCCTCCCGTTCGCAAGGATTTATAATGTGTGAACTGTTTAAACTTATTGTCTATCGGAAACAACCTCTCTACCTTGCCAGGTACGGGTAAGATGTGCGTACCCCACTTGGGGGATTATACTGGGTATGTTGTTGTTGTTGAACTGTTTAAACTTATTGGTGCGAGTATGTGATTCTTACTGAAAGGCTTGTAGTTTAGTCAAATAATTCGTATACATATAAATTTGTTTTTCTGATTCACTGTTAATATTGATCCTATCTCACCAATCTCCGCTTATGGCTGGTTTAGATGGTTGTGGCTTCTCAAACTTATAATTGAACCTTCACGTTTCTTTCCTACAACTATAACTGAATTTACTTCAGTAGAATATTAGCCAAGGTTTTTAATAAGATTCCTATAGAGGTTGCAGAAATTGACTCGCTACAGCTAATTGACTTAAAGAAATGTAACCGTTTATCTCATGGCTTGGCTTCTGCTGAGAACAAACAACAACAAACCCATGTACATTCCTGCAAATGGGGTCTGGGGAGGGTAGTGTCTGCGCAGACCTTACCCCTATCTAGTGAACGTAGAGAGGCTGGCTTCTGCTGAGAGAATTCAAGAAAAGCAAGAATACCTTGGAAATATATAAACTAATGGATGTTCTTTTGTACAATAATCCAGATGAGTACAATATTATATTCTGGAATGAACTTCCAATAATTGCTTTTGAAGCTTAAAGTGTGTGTATCTTTTATTCATTCCAGATAATTATTTTTATTACAAAAATTAACTTTGAAAAAAAAAATACGAAGAAAAATACAAAATAAAATGGTGTTAGATGACGTTATTTTGTGTAGTTGTAGATGAATATTTTCCTTAGATTTGGTGCCTTCCATGCATAAGTTTGTAATAGTGCAACCGTAGTTATGTTCATAATTATTGTTTTGGCTTGTATGAAGAAATGACCGCGGGATATCTTACTTCTTTGACTTCATTCAGATTCGGATTCAGACGATGATGATGGAAATGATTATGTTTCTCTGATGCTGGCGGCATGTGAAGAATAAGCATCAAAGAGCTCTACATGGACTCGAGATAAGAAGACAGAAATCACCATACGAGTAAGAATGAATAAGTGTCACCTATCCCCTTGAGGGTAGCCCGATGCACTAAGCTCCCGCTATGCACGTAGTCCGAGGAAGGAGCGGACTACAAAAGTTCATTGTACGCTGCTTTACTCTGCAATTCTCTAAGAGGCTGTTTTCACGACTCGAATCCGTGACCTCCTTGGTCACATATCAGCAACTTTACCAGTTACCCCTAGACTACCCTCCACCTATCCGCTAGAGGGAACGCAAGATATAGAGAAAGATGTCCTGACATCCTACGTCAAAAGCAAGGAAAAAGAAACACACAATTCTACAACGATCAGTGTTGACTGATAGAATTTTTCAGATTTATCGTGGATAGTGCTACCTTAGTTATGTTCATAATTTTTGGTGTAAAAAGAACAGATATCCCTTCTTACTTTGAATTAGGGAGATAAGATTAATGTCTCCTTGGTTTCTTCTTCATCTTGTATCTTTATTTTTATTTGTTTTCAGTGAATTAGAAAATGCATAAGATGTTGACAGTAACATGTAATGAGAAAAGGGATACTATATATTAACAATTTGAGACTGTTAAAGATTGCTGATGCTAGTTCATCGTTATATTTTTCTTATGTGAAATTATATAAATCAACAATTTGTTACGTTCTTCTTTTCTAACAGTAATGTGAAATTATATAAATCAACATTTGCGACTCACTTCTTGAATCAGAATAAATCCTATTTGAGATGTGTAACATAAGCATTTAAATACACTAGGTCGTATTTGCCATTGACTAGAGATATTCCTGACACTAGCGAAGAAGTTCAAGAACAGGACTGAACTAGTCCAGTCTTTTACCAATAATGGGGCTAGATTTGAATAATACCACATTTTGATTTGTTAAATGATTCTATAATTCTATTAGCTGAAATTTTCTACTATATAGAAAAGAGAAGTTGGTCGACCAAGGACAAAATGGTTATTTTTCCATGCCATTTTTTTTTTTGCTATTTCTATTTCTATTGGTTGATCAAGGGCAAATATGTCATTTATTTTCCTCAATTAATCTTTTTCGGTACAATACCCACATAATTCTAGAAGAATTTCTATGATGACTGACCCTCGGTTGTTTCATTTGCTTTCAGAATTTATACTCTCACCTTCAGGGACTAATCTTTGACTTCTCATCCTCATCTCAGTGGGATCTTTCAATTTCAGGTAGATTTTTCTCAATTTTTGCTTTAATCAGCCAATTCTTTTCAAATTTCTCAATTTCATGGCGGAAATCCATGCTTGTTTTTTTTCTATGTTCTTGTTGATCCATTCATCTCCTTCATTTTGTTTCTCTTTCATCTTTAAAATATTCCTTTTTCATGATCTCTTTGTTTTTCTTCAGATTTTCAATTTCAGTTTTTAAATCTTCTCAGCAAGGTCGTTCTAATTTCATGTATGATTTCTCTCAATTTTTGACCCAGTTTCTTCCAATTTATCTTCAGCCTTCCTAATTTAATTGCTGGAATTCGTGGTTGATGTCTTTATTAGAGAAAGGGGTAGAGTTTCGGAAGATTTGCAATGTGTAAAATGAAGTTGGAGATCGGGGTAGATAACAATGAACAAACAAATTATAGTAATAATTTAATTTGCTTTTGATTTCTTTTTGAATATTGAAAAATGTCCCTTCAAATTCTGTTATACCAATATAAATACTTTATTTTTTTCGTTTCGATTGATTAAAAGGTAACTTTATGTTTTCATTTCCCGCCAATTCTTCCATTCACTCTACTATGTTATTATCTTTCATAGAATATAAGCTTTATAATAGCTACGATTGATGAAAATTTTATAATTATATAGGAGCATGTTTTTGAAATATTCTGCTTCTTATTGTCACATTATATCTTTTTGAATGAGTGCATTTTAATTGGTGTTACTCCAGTATTCTTGGACCAAAGATTAATCATCTAGGTAGAGAGAATTCATTGTTGTTTCATCTCCTTTTTCTTATACGATAAGAAAGAAATTTGGGTTTGCAATGGATCTCCATGCTCAACAACATGCACCAACCTTGGGATGTTTTACTTCCAATCTTATAGAGTTTCTGATGGAGCTTGCTCTAAGTCTCGGTTGACAACTCCGATTGTATGCATTCACACAGTCAATTGATAATGAAGTATTTGTAGTTACATGTAAGTTTGAATTTTACCTCTGCTCAATTGATGTTTTCTTTAAGACACATAACTGAGGAAGTTTCTGTTGAAGACTTTTTGCATTAGTTAATCAGTTTAGCTTTTCAACAGACAATTGTCTATAATTGTGAATTTCTGGGAGCTGAGTGAATCATATATTACAGTTTCTAGGTTGGTGATCTCTTCTGATATGATAAACTTATGATATGGGTGACAAAGTTTTTCACCTTTCCTCTAGCCCTGGTAAGCTAAACATTTATGATATATTATTGTGAACTGATATTATCATGAAGATTTACCAAGAGCATTAAATTAAATCTCTTCTTACTTTTCAGGAAAGAACGTACGTATAAGAGTGAGATTTCAAGAATGGCTATCATTTCCTTGGAGTTGATTTATAAGGCATGTATCGAGTTTTCACGACCAATATGAATTACTTTTTTACTTTTATTATTTTGAGTTGTTGAGAATTTACTTTTACGCAAAAACTTATAGAAAAAAAGAATCAATCTGATAATCCTTTGTGACTTCTACATGTTATTTTCTTAGGCTAACAATTCCTTTAAATTTAAATGGATTGTAGAAAAGCAGTGCAATATTCCTTCTTATTACTAATGGACACCTTTGTATATGGTAAAATCGGGTGCCCCCGATTTTGTGGGCTCGAAGGCTCTTATCGAGGAACAGAAGGCTCGCGTCGAGGAATAGACTCATTATGGACCGAGTTCCAGCCTGATGACAGAATACGAGGCTCGAAGAACTAAGTGTTCGAGGAACGTCGGAGCCTAATATGACCAACCTCGAGATAATGCCGTTGTGGATTCGTAACAGAATGAGTAAGATTCCTGCCACGTTCCCAAGATCATGACGTAAATTCTGGAATAGATTTGTACGAGTTAGTACTAATCCGTACTATAGGTGTTAATCGGACTGGGCTGACCCGTTTTCAACCCGCTTCAACCCGGGTCAGCCCGTTACTGTAGCTTAATGTGCGGGCTGGGACGGGTTGGTCGGGGGGGCGGATTTTGGACGAACATATTTTGGATAATGGTGCACCGTACCCGCTAAGCCCGTTAACGGGTTATTAACGGGTTGCAGCCCGTTATCAGCCCAATTACCGTTATAATTTTTTTAATTATTTGGACCGTTGCCAACGGTCAAAATTTAATTTTAAAAAAAGAATTACACTAGCCCGGCCCGCCCGAACCCGTTAAGCCCAAACCCGAACGGGCCCACAATAACCCAAAAATTTCCGACCCACTACCAGCCCGTTATCCCAGTCCGCTAACCAACCCGGTTCGATAACGGACGGGCTGATTTTTTTTTTGTTCAACCCGTCCCAGCCCGTTCGATAAACACCTCTAATCCGTACTAGGCGGTTATACAGCTGTACCAATAAGATTATTTACTGTAAATAGAAATGTACCTTATTTAGGATTCCCCTATTATATAAAGGAGACCCCCAATCATTTGTAACCATCATGAATCATTGGCAAAGAATATACTCTCTTATCATCTCCTTACTTAATTGTTTCTTGCTTTACTGTTCTTAACCAACCTCGGGGCCACCTTAGCTCGAGGTCGAGACTGTCTTACACGCTGGTTTGATTTACTCATATCTTTCATTTATACGTTATACTTCTTGGTTATTAATTACTATTGAACTAAATCACATATCTTTAAAATCACAAATTAAATTTAATTGTTACTCGTATTTTCGAGGTAAACAGTTTGGCGCCCACCAATACTGATTTTACTGATTCTTATAACACACGTTATTTTTACACTTGTTCTTGTCAAGAATTTTTGTTTTCAGGCAAAAACATGTCAAACTCGCAAAACGCACCTGTACACGACAATGATGGTCTTGGATTTCATGGGGAAAACAACAATGTAGGGGTCGGTGTACCACCGATAAACCCTGGGGAAGTGCCAAATATGGAACCAGTTGATGTTAGTTCACACATTGGTTTGAACGCGGAATTAGGCACAGACCCCGTAGGAAGTGCACGCAGGGAAGCCCAATCTGGTGGCCAAGGAACACAGGGTATAGGAGATGGGGGAATCAGCCTCCAAGTAATATTCGAGATGCTACAAGCTCAACAGGTTGCCATCGCTCAGCTTCAAAGTCAACACAAAACTCCAAGAATAGTCGAACCAGACAACACTCGACGTACCGAGCCGATACCGAAAAGATCAAGCGGTAACGGCTCGGGGACTGATCCCACAATTATGAGGATGCTCGAGGAACTCACCAAGAGAATCGAGTCCGGAGAAAAGAAGATTGAGGATAATGACAAAAAAGTGGAGACTTATAACTCCCGTGTTGATCAAATACCGGGGCACCCCCGGTCTTGAAAGGTTTGGATGCCAAAAAGTTCATACAACGGAACAACCGATCCCAACTAACATATTACCTCATACACTTGCGGGATTAAAGGAAACGACTTGAATGATGATAAGGTCGAATCAGTATTGTTGAAAAAATTTGGGGAAACATTGTTAAAGGGAGCCATGCTTTGGTATCACAACTTGCCCCCGAACTCTATCGATTCGTTTGCTATATTAGCAGACGCCTTCGTGAAAGCACATGTCGGGGCCATAAATGTGGCAACGAGGAAATCAGACATTTTTAAGATAAGACAGAGGAACGATGAGATGTTAATGGAGTTCGTGTCCCGGTTTCAAATGGAGAGAATGGAATTACCACCGGTCTCGGATGACTGGGCAGTACAGGATTTTATGCAGGGTTTGAACGAGAGGAGTTCGATTACGTCTCGACAATTAAAGCAGAATCTGATCAAATATCCAGATGTGACGTGGTCAGACGTACATAATCGTTACCAATCAAAGATCAGGGTTGAGGACGACCAGTTGGGAGCCCCCTCGGTTCAGTTCATCCTAATAGATTGGCAGCTAAGCCCCCGAGGGATACAGACAGGGAATCAAGATCAAACAAGGAACGGTATCAACCATATGTCGATCGGAGAAACAATGGTTCGGGGCATAACGCTCCTCAGAACGATCGGAGAAATGATCGAGGTCAAAGCTCTCGGGGACTCATGAGTAAGAATAGTTTTGATAAACATACAGACCCCGCGGAAGCACCTCGATTGTCGGAGTATAATTTCAGTGTAGATGCATCAAGGATCGTGTCTGCTATTGGAAGAATTAAAGACACCAGGTGGCCCAGGCCAATACAAACCGATCCTTCTCAGAGGAATCCAAAGTTGATGTGTAGATGTAACGACCCGGCCGGTCGTTTCGTGAATTATAGCCCTGTCTCCCCCATTTCTTCTTCTTTATGTGTTTTTCAGCTGTATTGTATGGTATCGGGTTTGTTGGTTCGGGTTCAATGTAGTTTTGGAGAGGAATGAGACACTTAGTCTCCTATTTCGAAGTTAAGTTGGAAAAAGTCAACCGGATGTTGACTTATGAGTAGATGATCTCGGATGTGAGTTCTGACGGTTCAGTTAGCTCCGTTAGGTAATTTTGGACTTAGGAGCGTGTTAGGAATGTAATTGGGAGGTCCGTGGTAGATTTAGGCTTGAATTGGCGAAACTGGAAATTTGGCATTTCTCGATCGGCAGTGGAAATTTTGATATCGGGTCAGAATGAAATTCTGGAAATTGGAGTTGGTCCGTAGTGTCATTTGTGACGTGTGTGCAAAATTTCAGTTCATTCGGACGAGGTTTGATAGGTTTCCGTATCGTTTGCAGAATTCGGAAGTTTAGAAGTTCTTAGGCTTGAGTCCGAGGCTGATTTGGTGTTTTAATGTTGTTTGGAGTGTTCCGAAGCTTTGAATAAGTTTGAATAGTGGTATATGACTTGTTGGTATTTTTGGTTGAGGTCTCGAGGGCCTCGGGATGAATTCGGATGGCAAACGGAAGGGTTGGAAATTGGTTTGAGCAGTTGAAGCTGCTGCTTCTGTTATTTTCGCACATGCGGGTTGGGGACCGCAGGTGCGAGGTCCGCAGAAGCAAAAATGGACCGCAGAAGCGGAGAAGGACCGCAGGAGCGGAAGTTGGATCGCATCTACGAGCCCGTAGGTGTGAGTCCTGGGGCGCAGGTGCGGAAGCTGGGGATTTAAGTGAAATGCGCAGGTGCGGCGTTTGGACCGCAGGTGCGGTCCCGTAGGTGCGTGATTTTGGCCGCAGATGCGGAAGTGCTGGGCAAAATGTATAAAAAGGCCCCTTCGAGAATTTGGGTCATTCTTCACCATTTTTCATCCGGATTTGGAGCTTTTGGGAGCAATTTGAAGAGGGATTCAAGGGGGTTTTCACTGAGGTGAGTAATTTGAGCCCTAATACTCGTGATTATGGTAGTTTTTCGTGGTTTAATAATGTAATTAGTGGTGATTAAGGGTGAAAATGAGGGGTTAGAGCTTGGGATTTTGGAGAGTTTTGATTGAGGATTTGAGGGGTCAAATGGAGTGGGATTTTGATAAATCTTGTATGTATGGACTCGTGAGGGGAAGGAGTTTCTAGTTTTGTGATTTTTGTCGGATTCCGAGACGTGGGCCCGGGGGCCAGGTTTAGGTGAATTTCAGGATTTTGGTTTGAATTGATTGTTTTTCGTTTGGAATTGATTCCTTGGCCTATATTGATTGCGTTGCATTGCTACCGGTTAGATTCGAGACGTTTGGAGGCCGATTCCAGAGGCAAAGGCGTAGCGGAGTAGGATTTGGCTTGGTTTGAGGTAAGTAACGCTTCCAAACTTGGTTTTGAGGGTTCAAAACCCCGAACTATGTGTTATGTAATTAAATATTGAGGTGACGCAAATGCCAAGTGACGGGCGTGTGGGCGTGCACCGTGAGAATTATGGACTGGTTCATTGCATGGCACCTCTTAGTGACTCTTTCTTGCTGATATATGTGTTGTGATTATGTGATTAAGTTAATAAGATGTAAATCATGCTAATTACCATGTTAGGGCTTCACGCCGATACTGTTGAGACCCAAGTGGTCGTTTCTTGCTGTCATCTCATTAGTTTTATTGGTATTCTGTACTCAGTCTTGTTCATGCATATCATATCATGTCTCAGTCTCGATTGTTGTTATTTGGCACATCATATCATTGTTTTGGGCTAGTTTCATGGCATTGTGAGCCCGTGTGTGTGAGACTGGAGAGTAATGACTAAGTGAGGTCGAGAGCCTGAATATGAGTGACAGTTATGGGATCGGACTGCACGTCGCAGCAGATTATTGATTATGCCTTCATTGGCTTGTTATAGCGCTTGGGCTGAAAGGAGCCCCTTCGGAGTCTACACAACCCCAGTGAGCACGGATGATATTATTGAGGGATGGATTTCCATGGACATGGATTTGTCCAAAGTATTGATACCTGGAGATGGATTTCTCCTCAGGGTTGGATTACCCTTATTCCTCGGTACCAGTTGACTTGAAGTCAGTGTTGTATATATATTTCGAGATGGATTTTCCTAGGCCGGATGGCCATATGCGGTACCGAGTGGTTGAGCACTTGAGAGTGGGAGCACACAGTGCATTTTTCATACATTTCTAGCATTGACATGTAGAGATTTGCTG